ATCACTGCACAGCGAACGCCGTCACCGCACAGCAAACACTGGGGCTAACTTGCCCGCACTCCTTTACCGAAGAGGTAGCTGGGAAGGTGTCACCTCAGTCGGCATCCTCTCTAAGCCAATGTGGAGATGAGACTTTCCAGCCTGGTCCTGCCGCCCTGCTCCTTAGCCCCTAGATCCCTCGGGGCTTCACGAGGTCAGAACCTCAAACAAGCACCAGCACCGCCTCATTCCCGTTCATTCTTCAGTTTTTCTCTGACCCTAGAGTGAACCTCCACCTCCCATTTCTATCAGTAAAAGCTGTTTTTAGGATGCTGCTGCCTGTTCTGGACACCAATTCTGAGATGATTCTCAGGAGGCGCGTGCTTAAGAGTGAAGCTGAGAACACCAGGACGTGAGAAGGCAGCTCCACATCATTAGGAGGGTGAACGCAGTCCTGCACGAGCAGCCTGGGCAGTGGTGCAGGGCCCGGCCCCTGACCTCCACCTGGGGTGACCCTGCAGAGATGTGGGAGGAAGGAGCTTGGGGTAGAAGACAAAAGGTGGGCACCCCCAAGCCAGCGCCTGCTGCTGCCTGGCTGGGGTGCTGACAGGCATGTGGCCATCAGCTCCTAGAGGCCGCACCAGAGCTTTCTCGACCTGATTATTCGGATGAGGTGTGCTCTCTCCTGCTCACTCTCTCGTTTCAGGCTACACCCCTAGTTGAGCTCACACCAGGAGTTCTCTGAAAACAGTCCCCACTCCTCACAGGCCTGATCCTGATCGGGGCCCCACGACAGGCCGCTGCTGCTCCCTCCTTGTTTGGAGCCTCTAGTCACCTGCCTTGGAGTCGGTACTTTGTCATGGGTCAGTCACAAACATCCTGAGAGAAGGTAGGTACTGACTCCAGGTTACACCCCCCAGGATGCGCAGAATATGACTAACAAGCGGCTCATGTGTTTGGGTCAAATCTCTAAGCACCTGATCGCCCCATTTCCAGTCCACGCCTCTCATGACCCTGGTCCTGATCTTCATCACGGCAGCCAGCTCCAGGCCAGAAACCGGGAACTGCACCGGGGCTGTTTCCTTCCGAGTCTCTCCCAGAACTGTAGCGGGAGCTCCTCGGGCAGACTTGTTCACGGCTTCTTCAACATTATCACAGCTGGGGCCTATCACAGCACCAAAAACTACAGCTGATCCAATCAGTACTCACAGTTTCCCAATCTTAATATATTTTTAAAATAATTATTAAGTATTAATGAAGATAGTGACTTTAAAGACTCAATGGTGTATTTTTGTTTTATCAGTACAACAAATACTATGAAAAACTTACTGATGAGAATTAAATTTTGGAAAAGGCAAGGGAGGACAAAATATCTAAATGTGTATCAGAAGTTGTAAGTGATGAAAAAACTACTCAGAAAAGACATTTACTCTCTTTCTAGGGATTACAACCTGCTCCAAAAAAAACCAAAATGCTCTAAGTTAGAAAGACACGCATTGAGGGGGAGGTTAGCTCAGCGGTAGAGTACACACTTAGCACACAGGAGGTAACGGGCTCAACAACCACTGGTACCTCCATTAAAATAAAGAAACCTAATTAACCCCCTGCAAAAAACCATAAGTAGATATAGATAGATAAATAAATTAAAAAAAACAAACAAACAAATACAATATTTTTAAAAAAGAAAAACATGCATCACATATTTTTATTACAATAGAAAAAAAATAACCACCTAACTGTCTAACAGTGAGACATGAACCAGCTTAAATTACGGTACTGGAAACAGACAAGCTAACAAAGCAGGCCCGAGACTGCTGTCCTTGGAAAGGCCTGCTTGCAAGGCTGCCCTCTGCTGGCCTCCAATAACCTGGATTTTGCGAGGGTTCCGACCATCCCCTAACTGCCAAGAATGCATCCCTGGGCCTCAACTGTCTGCACAGACCACATGGTTCCAGGCTTCCTTCCGGGGGCCTGGAACTCACCTGAGCGCCAGGCAGACGTGCCTACACGACTTGCCTCAGTGAAAGCTCAGGGCACCGAGTCTCCCCACGTTGCCCGCGAAGATGACACTTCACATATGTGGTCACAGCGCCTTGCTGGGGGGACAAAGGGCATCCTGTGCGTCTCCCCTGGGAGAGGATATCCATCTGGTTTCTCCCAGACGTGGCCCACATGCCTTCTCCCTTTGCTGATTTTCCTTTCTTCTCTTTCACTATACTAAATCTCAGCCCTGAGGATGACCACATCTAGAGCCCTGTGAGGCTTGTTAGCGAATCACTGAACCTGGGAGTGCTCTCAGGAACAGGGAGGGCAGCGCTGGGATTCTCTAGAACAGCCCTGATTCAGACAAGTATCACAAAAGCCTTGTTCAGTAAAAGGAAGAATGAAGGGTGGGACACGATGAATCTGGTCCCTGGTGGCCACGCAATCACCCACAGTATAAAATGGAAGCTAAGCTGTCAGGTGGGAGAAGTAAAATGCACCAATGCATTTGAAAGCAGCAAATGCAACCCCAGGAGTTGGCCTGCTGGCCTCAGTGAGGGGAAAGCCCACGCCTGGTGACACCATGGTCTTCCTTCTCCCCCCAGGTGGGACGAAAAAGTGCCCCACCATTTCCAAAGATGGACCCGGGTGGGTCAAAAATGTTGAAGTTTGTGTCCCTCTCTCCTCCAAGAGGGAGAAGTAAAGGTTATTCAATTCCAGGCCTGGCCAGGGAGAGTGTTGCTCAGTGGCACAGCGTGCACATGAGGTCCTGGGTTCAATCCCCAGTACCTCCATTAAAAAATGAATAAATTATATATTAAAACAATCCCAGGACTGAAGAAAAGCTTTAGATAAACTGGAGGAAAAAGTTTTCTTCAGCCTCACAGTGTCCCTGTGAGGCTCCAGGACAGGGAGGGGTGGCAGCTGTACTGTTAACCCTGTAACTGCTGAATCTGCTGCTAAAGGTTTGAACACATTCTACAGTAAGAAAAAAGGAGTATCTTTTTTTAAGTGGCCTTGTATTTTGTGGCGATTATATGTGAATGTATGCATAAAAATCAATGTAAATTACATGCTTATCATTTCATATATGAAAGAGAAACCACTCTGATGAGGGAAAATGACAAATACAGATATGTATTCACTGGACACAATTCCCTGGCTGTTTACAGCCAGTAGCTGGGTTGGAATTTAAACTCGAGTGTGACTAGCAGAAAAAGCCCCCATAATTAATGATGTGTGCTACGATTTTTGAATGACATATGCAATGACTTTTGCATGATGGCCATTCTAACTGGTGTGAGATGATACCTCATCTAGTTTTAACTTGTATTTCCTTGATAATTAGCAACACTGAGCATTTTTTCATGTGCCTATTGGCCATTTGTATGTCTTCACTGGAGAATTGCTTGTTTATGTCTTTGCCCATTTTGAATTGGGCTGTTTGTTTTTTGTTATTAAGATGTATGAGCTGTTAAACTTAAAGGCTAATTAAACTTATAGCAAAGGAAACTGCACAGCAAAGGAAACCATAAGCAAAACAAAACGACAATCTACGGAATGGGAGAAAATATCTGTAAATGATTCAACTGACAAAGACTTAATTCCCAGAATATATAAACGGTTCATAAAATTTAATAACAAAAAAACAAGCAACCCAATCCAACAATGGGCAGACCTAAAGAAGCAATTCTCCAATGAGGACTACAAATGGCCAATAGGCACATGTAAAAATGCTTAATATCACTAATTACCAGAGAAATGGAAATCAAAACTACAAAACACCAGTCAGAATGGCTGTCACTTCAAAGTTCATGCATGATAAATGCTGAAGAGGGTGTGAAGAAAAGAGAACTCTATTACACTGCTGGTGGAATGTAGTTTGGTGTAGCTATTATGGAAAACAGTATAGAATTTCCTCAAAAAACTAAAAATAGACTTACCCTATGATCCAGCAATCCCACTTCTGGGTATATATTCAGAGGAAACTCCAATGCAAAAAGGTACCTGCA